AGTTTGGTTAATAAACAAATCTAATTCAATAATACATTATATAAGATGTTGTTGAGCATCATCAAGGTTTAGAACTTTATGTATTGCTTTATGAATGTGCAATGTCAGTGTGTTCACTTTTGATATGGGCTTCACAGATATGGTTCCCTACCTCTATTTATTTCATTAAATGTGACCCTGATAAAATTGTTACAAAAGAGATTCATTTTAGCAACACACAAGACATCCTCTCAGTTTTGCCCTGTTGCCTCCTTCCACTCTGCCTTTTTGTTTTGGCTCCCTTCTCACTGTCACCGGTCCATCAGCAGCCAACATGCAAACTCTATCCAATACTGAGTATTTTTCATCTGTATGGATTGTACGTATTCTCAAGGGAAATAACAAGGTTTATTGTTTCGATTGTAATTATACTCATAGAGTTCATTTTGTCGCATAGGAGGTCAAATCTCCAGGCTTCATTTACGTTTGACAATCCGTCTAGTTCAACGTTCTTTCTGTCACTGCTGAAGCCATGTGTAGCGGTTTGTCAGTTTGTGTGTGTGCGCATACCAGCATGTGTGTGCTAACCTCCTTGCCACCACGTGTGTGTCCATCTTGGGGTGATGCATGGTCAGCCATTGTACAGCTCCACTGTGGCCTTGGAACAGAGTCTGGCCCGACAGATTGCAGCATGGCGCTGCGAGGTGCGGAGAAGAACATCCCCTCAGTTCAGCAGAGGCATCATTAGGTTGACAGAGTCTAAAACTGGGTCTTGTGGGGTGAGGGTGTTGAATGACGTTTTTTTTACTCAAGGACAAGCTGGTATCAGAGGTTAATGACAGAGGCAGCCTTGGTACGCCATAGGGGAGGCCACTTATAATACTGATGCACATGGTGCGTGCATGTGTGTATATCAAGATTTTGAAGGGAAATATCAATGACAAAATGTTGGAACTGGAATTGAATCAACGATCAATGGTCCACCTTTTTAACATGTCTACTACTTTTATTCTTACTCTCATTTCAATTGCATTAGAGGCTAACAAGGATTTTAAAAAGACAAATAGTCTTGTACAGAGTCTGATATAGGGCTGGCCATTTCCAATAAATGTAATTCAATACACGTGTAAATGACTAAACATTCTTTACGGATAAAACTAAATATGAAAAATTCTGCACCAAACCTGGTTGTGTTAACCTCCATTCCTCTGTCCTAATTGTTCCCATCTGATCAGAGAAGTTGTGGTTTCAAACGCTTCCTTGTACTCCCCACAGCTCCATTTATCCCAGGCAGCCATGGAGACACATAAAGGCACTTGGTGCTTTAAGGTGAATCCCTTCAAATTGCTCAGCTTGTGTTACCTTGTTAAATCGATGGGCTTGGTGTCAACCGGCAGCAATGGAAATCTCACCAGGCAGGAGACTTTTACATGCCTCTGTGACGTGGAAGTAATTTTGAGGTTCAGAAAAAAAGCCATCTCTAATGTGTCTAACTTAACATGTTTGTTTTACAAAAAGGAGTTTCCTTGCTTCTTCTCCTTATTTCAATTAGACTAGGAAAGGAGACCCGATTTATTTTTTTCATGCAATGGTGATACAAAATCCAACTTTTCCTATTCATTCTGTAATTAATTACAAAAAAGCTTGTGTTTGATAGTAATACATGTGTTGTGTGTGAATGTGTTAGCAACAGAGAACTCTTCATTACACACTTTCTTACACAAGGCTTCTGGAATAAGTTCAGCAGCTAGGGCTGGATGAGACTCATTTTGGCAGCATTTTGTATGCACCAAACCAGGGTATTAAAACCCTTCTCTGTTTGAAAAGACTTCTGGGAATTTAAGCTTTAAACATATTCTCTCCAAAAATGATTGAAACAAATTGCAATTTAATCTTATGCTCCTGACGTCTGTTATGTAGAAATAATGTTGACTGTACCTTCCCTCCTATTTATGTAAGTATATTTATTCACGTTAAGTAGTATTGCAATGTTTTATTTATTCAGCTTTAACACTTGACTGATATATTGTGTCACAGTGCTTAGCTCAAATGTAAGTTTATTTTAGCATAACATTGTCTATCTTTCTATTTTTGCAAAGATTCTGCTGCAGAATAAGGTGCACAAGGCAGCCATCAATTAAGGTTCATTTGTCCTTATTATATGTTTGTGTATGCGCTGACAAACTCATGTTACACAGGTGTTCGAGTGAGTTCCTGACATGTGTGCCAAGTAATTTGAGTCACTGCTGTGTGTGGTTGCTCCTGTCCTGAGACATATATATTGGGTTTTTTGGGAGGCAGCTGTGCCCAAATCTGTAATACATTTTTGTGTTTTAGATGTCTTGTGTGTAGTTGTTATCAAGGCACCAAGAGCCTGATTGTGCTGCCTGCTCACAGGACATTGTTGTTGTTGTTGTTGTTGTTGTCGTCATTGTCGTCGTTGTTGTCGTTGTTGTTGGTAATGAAACATGGATGTATGGTGTGCAATGGTGACTGAGCTGTGGTGGGATGTGAAGTGGTTTGTCTCTAGGTGTCTCTAGGGAGAATGTCCAGGGTGAAGGGCTACAGTTTTCATCATCAACCTCATATTGCCTTTTTTTACAAGTAGCTCTTGATCCAGTGACATGTGAAGGAAGTCAATATTTGTGTTCAACAGTTTATTGGACAGATTGGCTGGGTTTATTGTATTGAAGGCCAAGCTGAAGTCAATGAACAGGAGGCTGGCTAAGGTTGACTTTAAGGCCCCGGTCACACGAGGACGAAAACGGCTAAACGCATAGGATTAACGCAAACGCAATCGCAAAAAAGCTTCCGTCCACACGCAATATTCACCGGATAGTGTCTGTCCACACGAGACAGCTCCGTTTAGCTCCAACCGCTGGAGAAGCTGCAGTACATATGCAGGAGCCTGTACGTGGCGCTGTAACTTCCTCCACAAAAGCAGCGAAGAAGCATGGTTGTCATGGTTGCCCTTCTGTTTATTCTCCGCGGTGGGGGCCGAGGGAAGCAGGCAGAGTTTTTCGCCTGTCAACGTGTATTAAAGTTTAAATCTTCCGGACAAAATTATAAAAGTGCCGGTCAAAGGTCTTCTTTGTTATTTATTGAGCTTTAAAACAAATGAATAACGACTCTATATAATATAATAATAAAATACACGGAGCCTCTCTTTTTCCTCCCTCTCTTCGGACAGCGCCAGTGTCTGTTTCATGCAGCAGCTGATCCAGTAATGAGTGACCCGGCCGACAGTAAAAATAAACATATTTATAACTAGTTTAGGTAGTTTGAGAGGTGTCTCTGTCCTGTCAGATTAGACTTCACTCGCGTTTATGTCCATATCGAGAGAAAGATAAATAATCTGAATTCAGTGTGCAGTTTACTTTGACACGGGGTGAGCAGCAGAGGTGGGGAGAGGCGGGGCTATTGCCTCATCGTTATCAGAAAATGATCGTATAGGGCGTACACACGGAGCCGTTGGACCCCCCAGAGCGTTGCGTATGCCGTTCTATCCACCTTGGGACCCGCTTTCGTTTCCGCAGTCGTTTAGTGCCGTATTCGGTCGTCCTCGTGTGGTCGAACGGTCTTTATGACACTAAACAGTAACGCAAACGACCGTTTTCGTCCTCGTGTGGCCGGGGCCTAAGTGTGGAGGTTGCCATGTTGACAGCATCCTCAACAGACCTATTTGCTCTGTAAGCAAACAAAACATATCCATCAGAGGGCTGGTGCTGGATTTCAAATTATGAGATATAAGGGCAATTGGTCTGAAGTCATTTAGGTGGGAGATCTTGTTTTATTTTGGCACAGTGAAAATTGTCCTGAAGCATTTTGACAATATCAGTGAACATTAGAGCAAGTTGGGCTGAACAGTGGCTCAAACTTTCTTAACATGAGTTTTTGATTACAAATAAAACACTCTAGAGTCTAGGTGTTTAGTGTCTAGAGTCTAGACACTAAACACCTTCAGTGAGTTGTCCAGTGTGATTTAGGATGTGTTCTTTAAAAATGCCTTTCTAAAATCACATTTAATAATTCAGCATCAATTATTCATTGAGACTTACTAATTAGAAGGTAGTATTAATCAGGCCTTGAACTGTGTGAAATGTCAGGATTCAACTTTTTTTAGCGTGTAAGTTGGGAGTAGAAAAAGATGTGTTAAAAATGTTTTGCATTGCATTATGTTTCTGATTCCGTTTAAAAGTTATGAATATTGGTGTCTGAGTGTCTGCAGAGGTCAACTGTTTGACCAGTTGAATATGAATCATAATTGTTAATACTTCGTGTAAAAGTTCCAAAAACCAGAGCAGATGGTCTCATTATATTTAAGTGAACTTTCTGCATACATTTCCATATTTAAAAAGAAAACCTGATTTTCATGAATCTGTAAGTCCTTAATGCTCTGAATTATGAATTTCTGATTTAAAAAACAATCACTGTTAAAGGTAGGAGGTAATTCACTTCAGAAACACTTTTTGTTATATTCCATGGAATGCTCTTAACATCCCGATAGCAATGAATAAATGAAATGCTTTGACAATAAATATATACAAATATTTCATCTGTGGAAGCCGTGGCGCTGTAAAAAGCTAGACCAATTACAGTATCTGCTCGGCCCGCGGCAGATAATTGGATGGCCTACCTGCCTGTCAGCCTTCCATCTCGTGCACAAACTTATCTCGTGCCCTCATTGGTCATGTGCACATTTGTGTGTTGGAGGAGGGGCTCTGTAAGGAAGTCTGAAGGAAGGGGCAGATTTTTAATGCTTGAGTTGTGATGATAATCAACACCCAGCTTTTCCAATACCTTTTGGTTTTTAATGTGTACTTTAAAGAAATAATATATGTTTTAAACATTATGTCATTGGGGAAACATTATGAGGATGTGATGTGTACATGGGTATTCTTGCCTGTGTCCTGTTTTGGCCGTCACCTTCACTCCTCCCCTTACCCTCCTGTCAAGTGTCTGTGTGAATTTACAATACATTTTTCTCAAATGTGTACATATTGTCTTCCTCTCACCCCCAGCATGCCAACCAGGCTTCTTCAAGGCATATGCTGGAAACACCAACTGTTCAAAGTGCCCTCCGCATTGTTTCAGCTATGGAGAAGGGGCTGCTATCTGCCGCTGTGAGACGGGCTTCTTCAGGGCGGAGAGAGATCCTCCATCCATGGCTTGTACACGTGAGTATACCAGCAAACAGGGGCTTAATGATTACTTATGACCTATTATTCATTAGACACATAGATTCCCTGGCTTTTAGTCATCTATTATGATGCGAGCTATGTCATGGGGGAGCTTTGAGCCTCACATTAAAGATCTCTATACTTGTAGGCCGAACATACTGGGTAAATGATTGCTTTGTCTCTGGAGTTGGTGGATTACTCCAGTGGTTTCTCAGTATTAGCTGTGGCCGTAAATCCAGTCTCGTCTGCAAGACTTATCTGGTATGAAACTGCATTAGTGAGTCTCTGGATGAATTACATGGCTGTTGTTCAGCTGCCTCGTCTTCATTGATGATTCACCGACTGTCATTACGACTTCATATTTGCATTAAATTACAGTTTAACCGGACTAATTCTCCTTTAATTAAAAAGCCATTTAGCTGTCACTGAGATAGACGGGGGCCACGTCTGAGAGCTCCACTGGGTGAAAGAGTGTATTTGTTTTTTATGGAAGCACAAAGCCAAGTTATTGTGGAGAAGCTGTGTGTTTACAGTTCCCTGAGAGATGCACTGATTGCAGAGACAATCTTCAGAGTGGCTGACTCCTCATGCAATATTTTCATCTCTAAATTTAGACTCAGATGATGAAACATCCTGCTTCTGCTCATAGCAATCTATGCATTTAATACCTGCAGGCCTTTTCAGTGCAACATATTATATATATATATATCTCATATTGTTGGAAAGATATTATATTCAATAGTGCTGAAAATAACTAGTATTATTATTACTGATCTGTCAGGTTGAAATACAGAATGGCAAGATATCATTTAGTATGAGGACATTAGATTAATAGCCATGGTTCATAGCATCTACATTATATAAAAAGTGTAAAACACCAGCCTAAATCCCTTCTTTAAAAATGGGTTTAATCATGTATCTACTTGTGAGCATTGAATTATGGAGTTCAAGTTACTGTACCAGGCTCAATACATAAAGCACACCTTGTTTTAGGTGTCAGTTCAAGGGTTCTTCAACAGTTGTTGGTAGTTGTTGAACTAAATCTTCCAGGGTAAACAAAATCTTAAATCTCTAAGGCTGCTTTTTCTCCCGGTACCAGCACTGTGTATAACTAAAGGCTTGTGGGAGTGTGACAAAAGGCGCATTCACACTGCGGTACTTTTCCCACAAAGGTTCATGTGAACTCTTTAGTTCGCATGAACTAAGTACAGATCGCGTTCACACTGGAAAAAGTCCGTGGGAGTGGATTAGGCAAATGAAGCCGCTGACGTGACTTGTTCTTCTTCTGCTTTGGGCTTACTGGCAGGCCGCAAACCACTTCACGGCGTATACTGCCGCCCAAAGTCCCCGGCCAGAAGTCCCCGGAGTTGGGGACTGGCTCCCAGCAGCTTCTACTGAAGCCTTCCGAGTAAATCGCCAGAACGCCGACACCTCCTCATCTCCACCACTCCCATGTTTTATTTTGTGTTGCCATAAGTTAGTTTCTCTGCCTTTCTGCGCTGGGCTAATGCTAATGATAATAATGCTAATGCGAGGATAATAAAATGGCGGCTTCACAAAACTTTTTGGGAGTTTTACGGGGCATGGTTTGCAATCCGCCCAGCCAATCAGAAATATAGCTCTTTTCTCACAAGAGAGCCGCACAAAAGTCCCTGCTCTCTAGCAGGGACTTTCGTGGGGGTAAAAAGGTTCACATGAACTAATTTTAGTACCGGCTCTTTTTGGTGTGAACGCGATAAAAGAGTTCACATGAACCTTTGTGGGAAAAGTACCGCAGTGTGAATGCGCCTAAACAGAGGTGTAGACTAATACATCTATCCTAACAAGCTGTGACTTCTGTGTTTACTCACATAATGCAATTTAATCAAGAGCTTGTATGCTAGCACATAAAACTGGTATGTTAACAAAGGTAGAGAGCAAGAAAGAGAAGATGTCACAGGAGGAGAGATAAAGGTGAAGAGAAAGTGTAAAGGCGGCTGGATGGAGTAGACAGTGAAGAGAGAAAGGAAGGAGGGTGCTGATACCAATCTCCCCCTAGAGGAGAATGGGAGCTGATTGATGGCAGTGGGGTTGCTTTGCAGGAGGGGTGGATTCTCCTCGATGGAGAGAATAGAGGAGGTGAGATAATGGCCGAAAGAGATAAAGAGAGAGAGATTGTACAATCGCTGACAGAAGTAGAGGAGGGGTAGGAGGAGCTTTCCTGTCTGCTGAGATTTTTAGCAAAGGTAGGGAGGGAGAGGAATGACGGGATGGTGAAGGTGAAGGGAGCATCCCATTGTCTAGGCAGACAGTGAGTTTGGCAGGATGGGAGTGTTCAAATCCCTCAGGCCTTTTAACTCCACCCTGTTGACAGCTGGCTGCCTGCTACAGCACAATACTTACCCTGACACACACACACACACACGCACATTCAGAGAGCACAAAAATAGCTCAACAAAGTGAAACGTAAGCAAGGTGAAATACCTATGAATGTTTACTTCGCTCCAGAGGAATTTATATAGGAGTTTTTTGGTAGGGCATTATTATTATCAAGTGTATGCTACAATGTACCTGTGTGAATTGTGTATACATTACCAGACTTTGTTAATATTCATGAAGAGGATTTAGAATTCAGTCTTAGGTTAGGTGTTCCTCAGGGGTCAACTTTGGGTCCTGTGCTTTTCTTAGTGCATGTGGAGTGTGATCTCTCCTGCATGATAATATGGGTAACTTGGTTAATGTTAAAACTGCTTTGATGAAAGTGGAGTGTCCTAAAAATCCATGACAACGAGGCAAACAGTGGATTCCAGTTGTTTTGTTTGTCTGCCATTTGTTCCTCTCTTTTGTTTTCCTTGTCCTGAGCCTCCACACTACACACTGACATTTGCAAACTTTTGCAGATAGTAAAAAAACAGTGATTGTCTGCAGTTCAATAAGGTGATGTCTGTCAGTTTTTAAAGAGATAAGCAAAGAAAAAAATGCTTGCCGATAAGAAGACTCCATCCATATGAAGCACTTGTAAAAAAAGCATGGGCCTATATTAAGATAGGAGACCAAACAGGATTCTGTGGATTCTAAATGCTGTCGGTCAATTTAAACTCCCAGTCCTGGACATCCTGTACGTAACGATGGTAATTGAAAAGTGGCAGGATGTGTAATACTACAGAAAAGAGCAAGTGGATAGATGGTCAGAATAAAATCCGTATTTAACATCATGTGAAGCCTCACTAGGGTCTAAATTCAGCTGCTAGGCTTTTATATTGATATTTTCAAAAGAATAAAATACATTGTTTCATTGCCAGTGGGCTGAGAAGCTATACAATGCTGTACTGCTTAAATCCCACAGGTGAAAGTACCTTTTGACTGTTTTAGCTTTTCATTCCTTTTTCCTACTTCTAACAGGCCCTCCATCTCCTCCCCGCAACCTGCTGTTTAACCTCAATGACACCTCTCTGATACTGGAGTGGTCCCCCCCCAGCGACACCGGGGGTCGCCGGGATCTCACCTACAACGTCCAGTGCAAACGCTGTGGCCCCGAGCCAGATCAGTGCCAGTTCTGTGAAGAGGAGCTTCGCTACCTACCACGTCAGTTAGGTCTGACCAATGCCACGGTCACTGTCATGGACTTCTCAGCACACGCCAATTACACCTTTGAGATCCAGTCCCTCAACGGTGTGTCAGAGATGAGCTCCTTCCCTCACCCGGTCGCCATCATCACAGTCAGCACAGATCAGGGTGGTGAGTGTTGAATTGTACTTGATGTACAACATCAATTTACATGAGTTAATTATATGTGGTATATCACTTTGACTGCAACACTGTGATCTTCGAAAAGTTAATTCTGCTTTAATTTGGGCTGAAAACCTTCCCATTACATCTACAGTACTTTCAGTATTCAGTACAAGTATACTATCACCTAATGTGTCAAAGATCTTAATTTACAAATTACATTCAAGCAAACCATTTAATGAAAGGTAGGATTAGTTCAACTAATTAGTTAGTGTTGTAGGTACTGCTGCAATATATTCATGTTTGGTGTAAGCATAGGTCAGCCTATTTGTTCAATGATACATCAATCACATTCATCAAGAGTCTGACTATTAATGAATCTCCCACATTTCTTCCTGAAGCAGTTATACCAGTACAGTGGTTATTTATTATTAAAACAAATTAACACCACTGTGATCGAGCAAGCATACCTGCTCATTTGAATCCATGTTCATGATAAACAGCTGTAATATTGTTGAAGTAACCGGTTACAACATTGTAGAACTTTTGCTATGAGCTCTTTTTTATTTGTTTATTTTGTATTCTTTGTTCATAGCAACATCTTTACTGTTGTGGTTTGCACCTTTGATGTAGATAGAGAAATACAAAAAATAGTTAAATAGAGAATGATCTTACAAGTAATTTTGCTGTAGTATTTTTAGTTTTGCATCCTTAACTGCTGCTCTAAATGATGACAGTATAGGCCAAGAAGAGGTTGTCTCTACCTGCCTACTCCAAATAAAAAATGCTATGCTGAAAGGCCTATATTTCCTCTGGGGCCGTGGTCTGTACGGGAACACTTATGCTTTTAATTTGTGATTTGCAAACACAGTGTTTTCTGTTTTCTCCCTCCTCCCTCCCGTCCTCCCTTGACTATTCTCTCTCCACGTTTTTTTTCAATTGGGTTTCTGCCATCCTCCCTCTTTCCCTCTCTCTCTCGCTCTCTCTCTCTCTCTCTCCTGTTTCCAATGTTTGTTTTTTCTTTTCTTTGTTCTCTCCTTCATTTTTCCTCTCCTTCCCTGTATCCTTGTTCTGCTGTGGGAGTCAGGGAGCAATACATTTTCTCATACAGCCAAAACACATTAAATGCATTATTCCATGTCACAGGGGACAGCTCTAGCCTTTACAGGTAACTCAATGTTACATGCAGCCTTTTTATATCATTAGGGTGCCCAGTTTAGCACATAGGCTGGGCAGGTCCCTGAGCTGTACACACGACCCATTTGATCACTAATATACCCAGCTGCAGCTGTTTAAAATGCTCATGGGAAGAGGTAGGTTCCTGGCCATCCGTCAGTGATAAGCAGCCTGATGAAGTATGTTACTACTATCACCTTGAAATAAGTGTTTTCATGAGCTAATCGAAAACGCTATTGATTGATTGATATGTAGGCTATAACTGCACCGGGAGTTCTCTAGTCATGAGTAAAAGTTGAAAAAGTATTCCTCCTTATGCCAAAACACACATTTCAATGTTATATTGTTAAGAAACCACTGTATTTGTGGATAATACCAATTAAAGGTGTAATTTGTATTTAATTATAGACACTTGATAAACTCCATAACTTCAGTCATCTCTTTTCAATTCATATTTCCACTTCTCTCATTATACAACTTACACAAGTATTTTGAGTTTCACATGCAGTCTTATTTTCTATTTTCACACCTCGATTAGTTATTTCAAAGGAAATATCACTGACATGTATATAGGACCGGCTGTCTTTGTTGAGAATGGAGGAGGATGATTCATGCACACAAATAGCCCACACTGTACCAATTACTATACTGTCAGTTATAATAATGTCATATTGTGACTTTTCCCATGGAACTGTACATATATTCACGGATAACACCAGTATGTTTTACAACCTGCAGCAGCCATATAACCGTTAACTCATTTATTACTTGTCGGAAATGTATCTAAAACGGTTAATTCTGCAAGGAATACATCTAATTTAGATTTATCATTGGTTGCTTTGTGGGATTATTGTAAAATAAGGAGTAATCTTCAGTCCAACTTCTTTTTGTTTAACAATTCCTGAAGTCACAGATTAAATCAGAAGCGTATATATTTACATAACATTTAAAACCAGCTTACTCCTGTGTGTCTGACCTCCCTTACTATAGAAGAGCTAGAGTGTCACTACACAGTTAATAGTTAGAATTAGGGCTGTGCGATTATGGCAAAAATCATAATCACGATTATTTGGTCAATAATTGATATCACGATTATTTTGACGATTATTCATTGACCATTTATTGAACTTTAAAACAAATAATATTTTACCAATAAACAAGATCAACAAATATGTTGGAGCACACTTCCAAAACCATACTAAACATATATTATTAATATGATAAATACAAATAAATTAGACCAAAATAAATTAAATCAAATATGTTGCAGTGCACTGTCACAACCTACTGAAAACTCCTTAACATATAGCCAACATTTTGGTTCAACATATTCCACTCAGTTAAACGTTGAAGGCTGGCCAACCGTCATGGTCCAGAAGTAACAGGAAATAAATGTTGAACTACAATTTAAGACCAAATAAAAATGTTTAGGCCACCATGGCAAATGCTGGTAGGGCTGCTCATGTCATCTCTTAAAGATGTTTTGCAAGAAACACCAGCCTGTTTACATGGTCTGGTTTCAGAGATGAGCGCAGGCAGGTGACGATATTGCCACCACTGAAGACCCTCAGCCACGCCCCGACACATGGGGTGACGCCGGCCAATCACAAAGCTTTGATGCGTTCAAGTGCATTATTCTGGCACAGGAAGATTATGTTACAGGACATTAACGATAAAACAGAATATTGTTGTTCTATTTTTAGACACATCTCGCGATCGACTGGTTGGGCACCCCTGGGCTAGACCATAGGTCCGTTGTGGTCGCAAAGTAGTCAGCTGAAGCCACATCTCTCTCAACTTCCCCACGGCATTTGTCACATAGCGCAGGCAGCGCAGACCTGCTGAAATAATACCGGCATCGCGTAACGCTTGTCCAACGTGTTGACAAGTTGCTTAAAGCCCTGGTTGCTAACAGTGCTAACTGGGCACATATCTTTAGCGATGTGAAATGTAATGGCAAAGTACTTGCAAATAGTGGAAATAGTTGTACCCTTCTTTTTAACGAGTTGCTGCTCTTGTTCTGACATCTTCGCTCGAGCTGAACACTCACAATACATGTCACTCCCACGTGGCCGAGTGGGCTTTTAGGGAGGGGTGAAAGCGCACCCAGCAATATAATCGTATTTTGTCAATTATGCTGTTTTCATAATTGTCGCAAGCCATAATCGTAATCGCGATTAAAATACGATTAATTGCACAGCCCTAGTTAGAATGCCACAATTTGTTGAGAAATTAACCAGACAAATTAATATTACTTCAACAAATGTGTATACAGTTGTACAAATGTAGTGGGTTTTAAATGGTACATAGTACATCCTTACTGTCATTACTAATACAGTAATCTTCAAGACTGCTAACACTGTAAAACGGATTGTGTTGGAGCTGTGGTACAGGGCTTTTGTTGCAGTCAGTACACATATTACTGTGAAACACAATGTGTATTAGAGGAACCTGGAGATTCATTATTTATTCACCGCAATAATGAATGTTTATTTATTTGTATTCTTTTTTTTTATAGAAAAAATCAAATGTATGTTGAAGTACTGCAACCACTGTTAAACAGCAGCTACAACATGACACTGTAAGATACTTCAGACAGGCACATATAGTTTGAGAAAAATACCTAACACAGGCAGCTATATGAAACCTGCATTAGGTCAACTCAAAGGAAACCATGCAAGCCAAAAATGAAATCGTGCATACTGCAGTAATTTGTTTTTCTGCGACTCCAGTGATATGCATACATACAAATACTTTTGCACACATGCTTCCCTAGACACTTCCACCAAAACCCTTCTGATGGGCTTGTTTAGAAATGTGCACAGAAAATTCTGATATCATTAGCATAGTGTTGCCATCAGCAGAAAATAAGTCGTCCATGTGAATGTCTCTTTGTCGTGAAGGAATATCAAGAGTCGTCTGTAATAAGGTACGCTGGCCACAGATAAATTAGAATGAGTCATCAAAACGCAGATGGTAAATGTCTTGTGTCAGTATGCTTAGTATATGATTTGTTGTGCAGATGATAGGGCCGCTTTGACAAAACACAAACATACACAAACAAACACACACTCACACACACACACATTAGTGGTATATAAAAGTTAAGGCATGTGATTATTTCCTGTCAGGCAAAAGCTCTTCAATATTTTTGTTATTCATCCAGTAAAGCACATGATGTGTGCACATGCATCATCTCTATAACACACTCACATTCACTGACACTTTGTGTGGGGAATTACTAAGAATCATAAGGATTAACAGCAGGGGAGTGTCATGGCCTGGAATAAATCCTCGTATTTGGAGAAAGACAAAAATAGTCAGGGGAAATTAAGAGTGCATTTCAAGTTATTGTAGTCGGCACCAAAAACGTGGCACTGCCGTGATCCTACAGACTTATAACTTCACAGCTTAAGGGAGGTTCACATCCACCACAATCGTCAATGTTGTTTTACCAGCTTCTAAAAAACTTGCATGGCCATCAACTACATCCTTCCGTAATCTGCATTAAAGCCATTCAGAGGGGAAATATCACATGATCATTCCCCGCATTGGGATACCTTTTCAAATTTGCATATGCACAAAACGGGCAATATCCTACCAAACACGAGGATGGAGAAGGTAAAGTGAACAGAGGAGGAGTGTAATGAGGGAGTAAGCCTGTGAGAGAAATGTAGTGAAAGAGTAAGGGACGAAGGGAAAGAAAGAGGATATGTATTATGAGAGCAGGAGAAGATTGGGACAGAGACTGATGAAGTGACAGAGAGGGTAAGAGATGATAGAAAATGAGAAGCAGAGAATGAGAGTACGATTGAGTGTTTATGTTTATTAAG